CTCTTTCCACGTCTCCCATCTCTCCTTAAATTTATCCCGGACATCGTGCACTCTGCCAGCGAGTCCCTCGTACTCATGCAATTTGTCCACCATGATTCACGATCTTCCAAGTCTCTCCCTCAGCTGAAAGTTCTACCTCTCATTTTGCCACAGAAAATCCGGGAAAAACACCAAAACCGTTCTACACTCCGTGAGAATTCCCCATGAACCTCGAATGTCTATCGATCACGAGATAAGATCCTTCTTACTTCTATCACCTCGGCGATACTTCGCTCCTCTTCCTTCGAGGAACCGAGGAAAGAAGAAATGAGGAAAGGTTGAATGTTAATTAAACGAGTGCTTTCGTTGAATCATCACGCTCGATTGACATTGGTCAGCGATGAAACGGATGTCGAAGAAACGACGCGAAGGGATGTTTCCTGCAGAGGGTTGGGGGTGTGCTTCGTCGACGAGACGCGAGAAACGACTGACGGTTCCGCAAGCTCGCGACCAAGACGAAAGCTCGACCGACGTCGCCTTTCACCGTGAATACCTACTTACCTAGTCCCTCCATCTGAGTTCCGGTCGGATGTAAAATGAGCTTCCCGTGTACCGAGGGAAACCTACTTACCGGGTGGCTGCTCGTTACTGTTGATTAAAATCGGTTCGGTTGTTAGTGGTTTGGAAAAAGGAGATAGAGACTTTATCTTCTTTTTTAACGGTGGAAATACCGAAAGCGTTCAGTCTCTTTTTAGTGAAAGTGTTAGAAGTGGTTTTTGATAGAAGTACCGAAGAGAACTGTGTCTAAGAAGAATCTGGGAATGTGAAAAGTGTTTAAGAAGAAGTAAAGAAGTAGAAATAGTGCTTTTAAAAATCTTGAAAATGGAGAGGAACGCTATAGGAGTATTTCAAACAAGAAATTTATGGGAGAAGTATTTGAAAAAGTGACGGAAATATTGGAGATGATATTGTGCCAAAAAAATGTCCACTTTTGAATAAATAACTATAAAATTATGCTATTAATGCTGCAAAAAGAAGGATATTATTAGAGTTTTTTTTAGGATAGAAATATTAAAAATTTTATTTGTGAAAATTTGGTTTATTTCTTATTTATAAAGCACTATATCAGTGTAACATTTTAAAACTTTTTATATTTCATGAAATAATTTTAAACTTAAGAAAAATTTCAATACTTCTTTCAGCTTCGTAAATTTTATTTGTTTCTAAAATATTGTTCATATATCGCGTATAAAATATAATTTTGAAAACGTAACTGTGTCAAAAATCGTTACTCGGTGTAGTATATAGATTACATGTGTTCGATATAAATAATTACATATCGAAACAGTTATTTCTCCTATGTCCCTGTGAAACAGTTGCTCTATTCTTGACCATGCAAGTGCATGCGGTGTTTACGCGTGTACACACGGAAAGCTTTTTAACAAAGCTTTCCAACGCTGGTCGTAGATGTAATTTCCGCGGCGGAAATTGCACTTTGTCGATTCTCTCCTTTCCACGCGGATTTTCGATTCGATTTACCACCGAAGGATGTTCTATATTCTATAGCCTCACACTCGATACTCTACAGTATATGCCTTCCGCAGTGTAATGTTTCGTTCCAACTCATTTTCCATATACGCAACGTAACTTGCCTTTTTGATAAGGAAAGAATATTTTTGTAATCATTTCTACGTTACATGTTCAATTTCATCGATAGTTACCAACACTCTGTACTTGGTATTCTTCATTTCTTTGATTTCCAGGAGATACTACGTTTTACTTCGTTCTAACCTCTAATTAGACGTTATTGACATTTATCGAAGTTTCCTTTGTACTTTATACATCGAGATTTTTATCTCTTTTTGCTTGTGTATAGGAATCAAGGATATTTTACAATTATTTCCGTAATACCGTATTATCTGTGTAAAAATTTACCATGATGTATTCGAATTCTTTGCACGATGTTTTTGCGATAAAACGGAACGATGTATGTATACATTATACTTGTTTCGTCATTGCATAGGTTAAGATTCGGTCAGAAAACGTGACTTTTTTTTCAGGAAACAAATTACACACTGACGAGCATATCGAGCCGTCGTATTAGCCGACGAGGAAGTCCTATAAAGTAGGTCTTGTTGCGTATGTGGCCTTGGTTCGAGCTTCGCCTTTGTCAGAGCTTACGATAGCAATACGCATCGATAATTCGTTCATCGGCTGAACGTTTCACTCTTCCTCGATGGACTTCCGATAAAGTCGTATTGTAACATAGTGGACAACATTGACTTTAGCCTTCTACTCCTCTGTTTCCGTTTGTAAGAAAATTATTTAATCAAGGCAAGAAAGTACAAGAAAGTAGTATACTGGGTGTTACAAAGTTACTCTACATATAATATTTATTTTAACTTCTGTACTATTCCAGTAGGTAGAAGCATTTTATTATTAGTAAGTATTCAGAAAATAGTATATGGCTATTTCAAGCTTGCATAATAAAATAATGTTATTCGTTCTAATACTTATTTTGTCTTATTTTGATTTATAGAGGCACTATTTAATTGTGAAGATTAGGAGAATGACATATTTCTAGTTATATTTTTGCCGTGATGTATATTATTTAGAAATTATTAAAATTAATGAAGAATTCAAAACTTGATGAATTGATGTGAAAACTAATACATATGTATGTTTGTATATTCCAAAGCACTTTGTTGAAATATGTTTACTATAAGATGGTATAATCAAAGGAATTTTTTTGATTAATGCAAAATATATTCCCAAGTACGTGATGATTTTAATTAATTATAAGATGACAAGGTATTGATTGAAATATTCTTAGAATCTCCTTCCATTTTGTTTCTAACGTTTTAGAACGATCTTATTGTTGGTTAACCCTACAAGAGGAAAACAATCAATGGCGATCTGATCTGTTAATGATTTAACATTCTATCCTATTGAAGACTAACGCAAATGTCGTCTTAATTCTTATCGACGTGCGTCGATCGCAAGAACCAATCTGCGTTATGCAATCAGACTTAAGTTCCATCTGCAATGGTACGACACGAAATTAACGTTTCAATCGTTTCATCTCAATTGTAAAAATTTTCTTTCATGAAATTGAAACGTTTCCAACGTTTTCAAAACAGAATAAAAGTGATTGATTGTATTGCAAAAATAAAATATTCGAATGAAACGAAATTAAATTATTCGTTAGATTCTAGATTCTTCGTCTGACGAATACAAGAAGTATACAATAAAAAAATGGAAGGGATTAAATTTTGAAAGGAGTTTATTACAAAACATTTCCAACGTAATTTAAGTAATATATTTTTATGTATCTATTTTTTCCCTGAAATTATTTTTGCATTTAATTATAACTTGCTTTCCGTGGATGATGTTATATTTCTTAGTTTTGAAAAAAATTTCCGGAAGAACGGTTAATAAAGACGAAGCATATTTTCCAATCCGATTATTTTATTACATCTTATCAAGTTTCCGATCCGTTCTCGTAAGACCACGATAACGACGAAAAGCAGGAATCTCCTGCCTCCTGTGTTCACGAGTATAAAATTAAAAACAGAAATTTCGAATTTTTCAAACTAAATGTATCTCATAATAAAAATAATAAAAATAAAAAAATATCAAGGAAATAATTTCTTTTTAATGAACAGCCTGCATTAAAGGCACAAAGGAAAAACATTTTTCAAATTTGTGTAAAATAATTTCTTAGTATAATTGTCATACTTCAAATATCTTCATCGTTTTTAATCAAGAATATGATTATATTATGACCCGTTTTATTTTCTTGAAAAAAGAAGACAATTTTCTTGTAAACCGTTTCTATAAAACGAAACACCAATCAATTCTACAGTCATCGTTGATCCCTATTGGATCACGCGTATCCCCTCCTTAACGTTTATTCTTGCTATCTATCCTACTATCCGTCTAATATACATCCGACCGTTCCAATTTTCCCGACAATAAAAATGCGATCAGTACGTTCATAAGATCTTTTATTGTCGAATCAAAAAGTAATAGCCCTGTAATGTTAGGGGTTGGATTTATTACGCTATTATTCCTACTTATAGCTATCTTCCAATTTGTGCTAAATCCATAACATTTGAAAAATTGTTATTATATTTTCCAATGATTTAATAACTTAGTAACTCAATATAATAGACTTAACATATTATGAAACTTTGTGTTCTATCCCCTGAAATACTAACCCTGCAAAAAATTAAAGGTTTCATTATGCTCTCGTTATAACCTAAAAATTTAGTAATAAATTTTATTTACAACATTATAAATAAATTTATTGTTAATAATAAACAAGCTTATTGTTAATGACAAAATAACCTGTTACTAAAACAAAAGATTAACGAATCATTGGCTGTTATAATATAAAAGTAATTATTAGCCGAATCGGCAACGATCGTGTCTACTCGGCTGCATTCGATAGGCAGCTGCTGGCTATATAAAGGCCATCGCTGCTTAATTCGGGATCATTTGTCAATTTCATTTCGAATAGAACAGATGTGAAATTTGATTGAAGAGTTGTCCAGGATATTGATAAGATAGTCTGTGGTCATTGACTATCTAATAACAATTATCTACACTCTCCACCAGCCCACCACTCTGTATACTTTAATAATCGCTTTTTAATTATTTAACGATTTATTAACACAATATAATTATTACATCGAAACCATAGGATGTGTGTGTTAATTTCGAATTGATATAAACAGATATTTAGGTTAAGTTCATTGTATGTCTTTCCTGTACTAAAATACACTAACTTAGAGTGCGAAAATCATTGTTTTCTTTTCCCCGTCGATCATCAAATACAATTATTCTCGCGATTATCGATTCGTAATCATTTAATTAAACTAGTCTGTGCAGTCATCATGTAAATCACTTTTCCAATTCAGATTCAAACCCTCTCGAGTTACTATCTCAGCATGTCTCGAGTCTATGGGGACCTCGTCTGTTAGTGCAGATATATAAATTAACCCTTCAAGGACTATCATTCCTGATTTCTTCCCATGTGACGAATATTTAACGTCATACAGATTTTCAAGACGAATCAAGATCGAATCGAGGTTTTACATATTTTTCAAATATACCTAACCTTCAATTTTAAATCAGTAAACAATATCTTTACTTTGTTTTTACCCAGTAGATTTTGGAATATTTTTCTAAGTAACGTCTACATTTCAATTTATGAAATAGATTACATAAAACGAATTAACCTAAACATAGATTTGAGGTTAATTTTTGTTTCACGAGAAATCATCCTGTTATACGATGTAATACAATTATTTCTGGAACCGTCTCAATCAGTATTATTTTCTAATACGCATTGTTATTAATACAAGTTATTGATTCGATGAATTCTACGATTCATATTTCCAACGTTCAATGAGATGTTATTTGATCTAAAAATACGTCGAATTAAAATCGATTGTGTACACTGTACAATTGGTGGACGATTGTCGTGGCAATCGGTGCAGAGAGAGTGATTCGACGGT